TTTTGATTTATGATAATCAATATTTACTTGATATTGTGGCCACCTATAATGAAACCCTTAATACAGAATCACGTGGTACTAAACGTAAAATTGAAAATACTCACTCAAGTGCATTATGGCACAAGTGCTCAGGTCACAATCAAATTGTGACGTTTGGGCTTGTGTTACACACTTAAAGATATGGTAGAGAGTATGATTTGTCATTCCACCTTACTGGAATCACTTTGGGGAGAGACACTAAATATGACAACTTATATTCTAAACAGAGTACCAACAAAACACTTTATGAGCTTTGGATTGGGCGACAACTTAGTCTGAAGCATTTCCATGTGTGGGATTGTCCAGCTGAGGCAAGACCTTATAAGTCAAATGAAAAGAAATTGGACTCCCGAACAGTAAATAATTATATTATTGGTTATGTTGAAAGATCCAGGAGATATATATATTTTATGATCCCACATTAAAGACAATTTTTGAGACGAGAACTGCTACGTTCTTTGAGGATATTGAGTTTGGGGGAAGAATAAGATTAAGAACTTCATCTTGGAGGAAGAATCGGTTACAATTTCAGAACCGATTCAAATAGTTACTTTTGATAAAGTAAGTTCGGAACTTCCACAAGGCATTGTTGATGAACCCCTTACTCAAGATGATTTGGTTGTTCATGAAGAACAAACTCAAGATCCTCAAGAACCTGTGCATCATGAGCTAATAACTTTGCAGAGATCCACTAGAGAAAGAAGAAGTGCTATTTCAGATGATTACATGATATTTCTTCAGGAACATGAGGAAAATAATGATATAATGGAAGATGACTCAGTTAACTTCCGTCAAGCTATACAAGGTTATAACTCTCAAAAGTGGATTGAAGCAATAGGATAAGTATAAGTCCATGCAAGACAATAAGGTTTGGGAACTTGTCCCATTACCAGAAGATATGAAACTCATTTGGCTTCAAGATGAATATTGTTGATGATTGTATGTATCACAAGTTTAAAGGGAGACAAATTTAGTCTCAATCAGTGCCCAAAGGGAATTTGGAAATTGAGGAAATGCAAAAGATTCCCTATGCATCAACTATAGGGAGTTTGATGTATGCCCAGGTATGTACGCGTCCAGACATAGCATACATAGTTGGGGTTCTAGGCAGATATTTAAGCAATCCAAGAATAGACCATTGAAAAGCAGCAAAAAGAGTCATAAGATATTTAAAGAGAACAAAAGATTATACACTACTACAAAATATACTTTCTACGTCGTCATTTAACGTCGGTTATAGCTGAAACGACGTAGAAAGTACTTTCCACGTCGGTTCCCAGATGAACCGACGTTGAAAGTTGAATAGTAAACACATTCTACGTCGGTTCTTAGTTAACCGACATAGAAAGTACTTTCTACGTCGGTTCCCATATAAACCGACGTTGAAAGTCTTTTTTTTTTTTTTTTTTTTTTACTTATTGACACTTTCCACGTCGGTTCCCATATGAACCGACGTGGAAAGTCTTTTTTTTTTTTCACCCAAAAACTCACTTAAATTTGAAAATTGTCATTGGCAAGATTCGAACCCAGTACTTTAGAGTTGGAGACTGATACTCCAACCACTAAGCTACTAGAATTTTCTAATAATAACTTACAAATAAATTATATTTATATACAAATAAATATATATCCATGTAAATATATATTTATTTGTATATATTTTCTGGAAAGTATTTTTATTTTTATTTTCAGCCAAAAATTCTTTTAAGTTAATGAATTGTCACTGATAACATTTGAACCCAGTATTTTAGGGTTGAAAGTTAATATCCCAACCACTAAACTACTATAATTTTTTGATAATAACTTACAAATAAATTATATTGGTATTTTTCGATCGAGGGTGAAAATGTGATTGACTCTTGCTTGAGTGAAAATATGTTAAAGCTCACGGAAATTCACTTACTCAAGTCTCGCTTGAGCGAAAATTGGTATTTTTCGCTTGAGAGAAAATAACGCGTTTCTCAAATTTATTTTATATCATTATATAAATAAAATTATAAAGATTATATTCTGTCATTAAATTACAAACTCATATAAAGATACCTGCTCACAAATTTAGCATCAAATTTTGAAAACTCACTCGACACACACTTTCACTTTCGAGTGTGCCCTCACATCCAACATATAAATATATAACTATATAAATATATCAAAATATATAAATATATTTGTATTTATATATTTATATATTTACACGGATATATATTTATTTGTATATAAATATAATTTATTTGTAAGTTATTATCAAAAAATTCTAGTAGTTTAGTGGTTGGAGTATCGACCTCCAACTCTAAAGTACTGGGTTCGAATCCTGCCAATGACAATTCTCTTAAAAAAATAATAAACTTCTAAAAAATATAATACAAAGAGATGGAGAACCTAATAAAAATATAATATAAAGAGAGAGGAGACTTATAGATAAATAAAAGGGGGTAAAGGGGTTGTAAATAAATAAAAATTATTAATTTAAAAAATCATACTTTCAACTAACTGACGTTGAAAGTTACGACTTTCAACGTCGCATGATACAACGTCGGTTCAACAACCGACGTTGAAAGCTTTATTTGTAGTAGTGATATGCTCACATATAGGAGGTCAGACCAGTTGGAGATCAAAAAATCATACTTTCAACTAACTGATGTTGAAAGTTACGACTTTCAACGTCGCCTAATACAACGTCGGTTCAACAACCGACGTTGAAAGCTTTATTTGTAGTAGTGATATGCTCACATATAGGAGGTCAGACCAGTTGGAGATCGCTGGGTTTTCTGACTCAGATTTTGCAGGATGTCAAGAATTTGTAGCATGCTATGAGGCATCAAATCATGGAATATAGCTGAGAAATTTTGTCACAGGGCTGCAAATTGTGAAAGGCATTGAAAGACCACTTAAGTTATATTGTGACAATAAATCAGCTGTATTGTTAAGGAAAGAGTACAAAGTGAACAGATTTTCATAGAACACTTAAGGACACCATGATAACATATCCTCTAACTAAAGGACTTCCGCCCAAGGTCTTTCATGAGCATGTTGCTCACATGGGTGTTTTACAGTTTGAGGAATTTGTGGTTTAGTGGGAGTTAGTCACTTTCATATATTTTATGTTCTATGTTTAATTTCATATATGTATACATTGATTTTTGGACATATTTGGTTATCTATAGATATGCGGTTTTTTCGTTCATTCATTACACTTTGTACATTAAGGATATTATATCGATCTCGATAAGTTAAAGTTTGGACCAGTTGAAAATAGACGTGTACAGATCACCTTCACGTAATTTTTCATGCTACACATTTCATGATGAATCCATGTCATTTAGTTATGTTAGGATGAGTAATCATTGTTGGTTTTAATTGCGATGATGCAATGAAAAACTGGTTTGGTTCTATATCCTGATATGATTAATGGACAGGACTTTTGGAGTATGCTAAAGGAATATAATGACAATTTTGAGCTCATAAAGTCTAACACATTTGTAAGGTTGTAAGGACATATATATTTGTGACCAGTGGGAGATTGTTAGCAAAATTTGGGTCATGTATATATATGATACATAATTTAAATGTGTTAGGGTCATTATTTATTAAGCCAAATAATAAAGTGGTCTGACTAAATTAAAGTTTTGGCTAAAAGCATATGTCATGAAAATAAAATTGTGTAGAGACCATTGAACAATTTCTAATTTGATGAGGGGCCAAATTGGAAATATTAAAACTTAAGTAATTAACCTAATTCTGGTTATCTAAAGGGTCATGATCCCCTTCTGGGAGCACACATAGACAGAACGTAAGTTTCATTCCTGTTCCTTTCTTTCTATCCCCATCAAGAGAGAAAATCAAAAGGGAAATACATGTGCTCTTCAGGTGGAAGACCATAAGATCAATATAGTGCTTCTACAAAGACATCATCATTATGGTTAATTCGAGTACGCTTTCGCATTCAATTTACGACATGTTTATCGAGTATGAGATTATGTTTATGTTTGATCGTTAGAATCAAAATCGGGATTATTATTATTATTATAATTATTATTAGTTTTCCAACACATGTATCCTCCTCAAAAGAAAACTTGCTAAGAATCAAATTTTGTTTGTTTTTAAAATACAAAACTTATTTTACGAAATACCGGACCAATTAATTGTAATGTGGAATAATTATTAGGTAATCTAAGTGTAAGATAAGTTTCATATTGACTAAAAATAAAAAGTTGAATAACATATAAAGAAGTATGATCCATAATCTAATGTAAAGTTTTTGATTGAACTCATGTCTCATTGTTATGTTTATCCTCTATAAATCCTCCTTAAAATATCCAACAAATGATATCAAAAATTATTCTGAGAGAATGAGTCATTAAGTAAAAATAAAAAAGTTAAATAACATAAAAAACATATCATTAAGTAAAAATGTAAAAATTGAATAATATTCAGAAACAGAAATTGACAGTGATGTCAACTTCTTGTATTGAAGTCATGTCTTGTTGTTTTGTTTCTCCTACTCACAAAATACCTAACCAAACTCATAGTTTATAAATTATATTATTAAATAAGAAACACATATTTATCATTCACTTTGTTAAAACCAGAGCTAGGGGAATCATTCCACATAAACAAACAGTGTGCATTGATTTGTAATTAGGTACAGAACAAAACAAAACATAGGAAAAGAAAGCCGGCCACCTCTATGTTTTCTACAACTTTACACAAATTCATTTTAGCCACTCGTGCTGTCATAAAATTCCCTTTTTTTTTTCTCTTCCTATCCCCTCACGCTCACCACCCCTCTCTCTATCTCTCCACATCACAAACCCCAAGTTTCCTTATAAATATACAGACAGAGAGTGAGGGAGTGAGTTATCTAAGTTCAGTTAAGTCGAGTCGAGTTGAGTTGAGTTGAGTTGAGTTGAGTAAGTGTTGAGTCACAAGTCACTGTGGGGTGGCCTGAAGTTGAGTGATTGATGATGATGATGATGGAGATGGGATCCATGTGGGTGGTCCTTCTGGTTGTGGCCATTGCTGGTGCTCTTTTTATCCTAAGATCCACCCTCAAGAATGTAAATTGGTGGCTCTATGAATCCAAATTGGGTGTGAAGCAGTACTCTCTGCCCCCAGGTGACATGGGTTGGCCCTTCATTGGCAACATGTGGTCCTTTCTCAGAGCTTTCAAGTCCAAGGACCCTGATTCCTTCATCTTGTCCTTTGTCTCCAGGTAGTTATTTTTTACTAGTAGCAATCATTTTTATCATTTATCACCCTCTTTACAATATCAAATAACTTTTTCATAACACAAAAAGCTAGTTGTTTGTTTAATGTCTACTACCTCTGAGGTGTTTCGGTATTGTGAGTCTCAGAGGCCTAACGGATGCCATCATCATCCTCACCTCAGGCCACTAATACAACCACACCCTAAACCAAAGCTGCTAGAACTATTAGTGGTCCAGGAAACACAAGATAAATGTACTTTTTCTATTTTATATCTAGTTTGGCACAAAAAGCTGCTTGGTCTTTGTGAAAGAGCAATTACCATAATGCTACTTTTTCAGTTTTGGAATCGCAGCATCACCCATTCAGAGGGAATAAGAGAAGACCAGCACCTGTTTGTCATTTTCACACTGCACTTAACCTCCCTTTCTCTCTCTCTCTCTCTCTCTCTCTCTCTCTCACACACACACACACACACACAAGCCATAATTGCTGGGCACTTTGGTGCTCTTTCTGCTTTCTAATTCTTAATTAATAAATTTATTATGTACTTGCAAATATTTTTTGTAGAAAAAGAATCGCAACTTTAAGAAAACTAAAGTTTGAATTTTATTGTGAAAACAAATAGGTTCTTTGATTTATTTTTTAGTACATTTATAGTTAGAAAATTAGTTTTTACACCCCTTTTAATATTATTTACTATTTTGAAGAGTATACTTTTTATTTAAAATATAAAAATATATTCACTCTTTGATTTTAATGTTATAGAAAATATTTTTGTTGATAATACTAAAATTTGATTAGTTTAGATTGTTTTTAAAAATTCCAAAATTAATATTGAGGATTCAAAGTTACTACTGGTGATATGATAATTTGCAGAAAGACAAAAAAAATAAAAATCTTTTGATGACTTGTCCATCTTATAATTTAATATATTAAAATATACTTTTAAAATACAAAAAAATTATAAAATAAAAAATGAAATTACGTTAAAAAATTAGTACGGAAACATATGTCCTCTCCATCATGATTTTTAAAGGATCAATTGTGTAGAAAAATAAAATATTTGGTGATTATTATTTTTGAGTAGAGAGTATAATAAATGAGAGGTGCAGCTATATAAATTTTATCAAATGATAAAATGACATAAACTAATAAAATATAAATTTATTTAATTAAAAAACAACATCTACAACAATTTGTTAATGTCCGGACACGTACGTGAGGATGTGCAGTCCATGTCAGCGTGGCCAGCCATGATAAGATTAAGATGGTGTATTACGTATTATAATACATTTTACAATTTTTTAAATCATCATTAATTAAAATTTAAAATCGAATAACTAAATTCATAATAGTGCTTATATATTTTATGGCATAGAATTGTCCTAGTATTATTGGCTTATCTCGTAGGAATAAAGTGAAAGAGTTCTGAATGAAAGTTCCAAGGAGAGAGAATACTTCTCACACTAACTTTTTCCATAATTTTGCTATTCGATTCCAAACCATATGATCAAAACCAAACCTAACTTTTCCTCTTTCATTAATTAATATGCCTCTCAATTGGGTCAAATTAATTCATAAACTAGTCAAAATATTGATTGGAAGAAGTTTTTTATGTTACTTATTGTTTCAAGTAAATGAAAACTTGTTGGACACTAGGGAGAAAATATGTTACTTATTGTTAAGAAAAATGAAGATTAACATATTTCTTTATTATTTTTTTAATAAATAATAAAAATATTTTTGCTACTAATTTTTCGATATTAATAATTTTTTATTCTACATTTTTTTTCCATTTCAAACGAGTTAACCTTTATTTCATGAGTTTAGAGAAATAGTTAATTTGTAGGATCAGAGGTTGAATTTCACTCTGGATTTGATAAAGATTAAAAATAATAATAGGCGTTGCAAACACATAAAATGTGTTGAGAATTATAGGGTTTTTACGTGTGTGTAAGATGATATATGATGTATATAAAATATATTATATGTTGAAGTTTTTTTCTCATTTTATTATATGTTTTATTAATATATTATATATATAGAATATAAGTATAATGAATATTATAAAAATATTTTATTATGTAATTTAAATAAAAAATAATAAAATATATATTCTCAACAAATTGTGATTATATAAAATTAAACTATCTAATAAATTTGTATCTATCATGCCTATGTGTGATGATGTGTGAAATACTGATACGTGGCATTTTGCTTAACTTAATAATATGGATATGTTTGTATTTGATACTTTCTCTTGGATACTACTTCCAAATGTATCTGTGGTGTAGTATTCAGTGTCAGACACCACCCTCCAACTATATAAAGATTAATGTTAAAGTGGGTCACTTTTTATGATATATATATTTTTTGTTGTTAATAGGTGGGATAGCATCCTAATCTTTGAACGAATCAAACATGAAAGTTGTCCTTTCTGGGAAGGAATAATCTTGAACAAAGATACTGTTTCTGGTTTTAGGCAACAGAGAATGGTTTATAATTTCTAATTTTCTTCAAGTAATGACAGAAGTATGCTAGTTTAAATTTGTAGAACTATAATTAGTTTAAGTTCACACTGATTTGGCCTGGTTCAAGAAATATTTTATATACACATCTAATAGAATTATATTATAACATGGTGTATGTATCATATATCATATTTGTGATGATACTGAAATTTTGTATTGAATGAACAAATCATGAAGATTTGGACGAACTGGAATGTACAAGACCTTGATGTTTGGAAACCCGAGTGTAATTATGACAACACCTGAAACATGCAGAAGGGTGTTGACAGATGATGATAAATTCACTAATGGTTGGCCTCGTTCTACGATAGAGCTCATTGGAAAGAGGTCATTTATTTCAATGTCTGTGGAAGAACACAAGCGCCTTAGGCGTTTGACAGCCTCTTCAATCAATGGCATGGAAGCACTGTCCCTTTACTTGTCATATATTGAGAAAAATGTGAAAACTTCACTGGAGAAATGGGCCAACCTGGGACAAATTGAGTTTTTAACTGAGATCAGGAAGCTTACTTTCACAATCATCATGCATATTTTCATTAGCTCAGAAAGTGAACCTGTTATGGAGGCTTTGGAGAGGGAATACACAGCACTTAATTATGGAATTAGAGCCATGCGGATTAATATTCCTGGATTTGCATACCACAAGGCGTTCAAGGTAACTAACTTCAGCATTAAGTGTGTGAAAAGACATAACTTAGATTAACTTATAATCTGAAATTTAACTCCAACTTAACCCAAAAGTTAACTTATAACATGGGATCTTGTTTTGACTACGACACCAGCAATTTTGAACAAAGTGTGGCAAAAAATTTTCCCTCCTTTATTTTGGTCATCCTTCAATCACATTCTAGGATATTATATATGTTCTTCACATGAATCAGAAGTTTCTTTCAGTCAGACTTTGATTGTAACATGAAGGAACAAAGTATAGTTTATTCAAATCCTTGAGTTATATAGGTTCAGCATCTTACCACTTGATGCTTTTATTTCAGGCAAGGAAAAATCTAGTGGCAATATTTCAATCTATTGTGGACGAGAGAAGAGACATAAGGAAGGCATATTTGCCTGGAAAAGGCAAAGATATGATGGATGCTCTGATAGATGTTGCTGATGATGATGGAAGAAAGTTAACAGATGAGGACATCATTGATATCATGTTAATGTACTTGAATGCGGGCCACGAGTCTTCGGGACACATTACAATGTGGGCAACCTTCTTCCTGCAAAAGCACCCAGAATATTTGCAGAAGGCTAAGGTAACTAGTTTTTAAATATCATACTCCACCTAAATTTACAATTACTAGGGGGATAATAAACATGCACATTAATCATTTTCTTGTGTCCTTGTCCTACCCTGTATAATATTGCAAGCTCAAAGCTTAACATTTACTCCTTGAATAGGAAGAACAAGAAGAAATTGTGAGGAGAAGGCCTCCAACACAGAAAGGGTTGACACTGAAGGAAGTTCGGGAGATGGATTTTCTTTACAAGGTAGGTATATTGATCTCATGTTAATATCAATTGATACTGTGTCAACTATGCTTATCCATGTTTCCATTTTTCACATTCTTTAGGTTATCGATGAAACAATGCGTGTGATTACATTCTCATTAGTGGTCTTTCGGGAGGCAAAATCTGATGTCAATATCAATGGTTAGTCCCTGTTCTGCCTATTTATTTCTTGTCAGTATCAGAATATTCTTGTTTCGTGGACATGATAAAAGAAGTAGACAAACAAGCTGTCCTCTTCTCCCTTGTTGAACTTAGTTTTATTGGGTATGATATTTGTTCACTGTTAAGAGAATATCATGGCGTGGCATGAAGTATAATCTTTTCATTCATGTTACAAAATGCTAACAGCATATGGGGTGATACAGGCTACACAATTCCAAAAGGTTGGAAAGCACTAGTGTGGTTCAGATCAGTTCACCTTGATCCAGAAATATATCCTAATCCAAAGGAATTTAACCCTTGTAGATGGAATGTGAGTTGTCAAACTTCATCTTTTAACTAGTTTGAATTGAGTCCATGTATTCTGCATTAATGCAGAATACAATATTAGAAAAGTGCATCACACACATACAAATATTGGTTTAATTTAAAATTTGGTGATGTTTATTCATAGAAAGAACACAAGGCCGGAGAATTCCTTCCCTTTGGAGGAGGAACTAGATTGTGCCCTGGGAATGATCTTGCCAAGATGGAAATAGCAGTTTTTCTTCATCATTTCCTTCTGAATTACCGGTGAGCTTTCTCATTCTATACTTGCATATATCTCTTTTCCATTATAAATTATATTTTACCATAGATTATGAGTGCTGTGATGGGAGCCAAGTCTAGTGTATGGAATTTGTTTTGAGGTATTTATTGACTCCTACAACATTCAATTAACAAAGTTATGTTACTTCTTGATTGCACAGGTTTGAACAGAAAGATCCTAACTGTCCTGTGAGATACTTACCACATACAAGACCCATTGACAATTGCTTGGGAAGGGTCAGAAAATGTTCATCTACAACAACCTAAGAGCTATAATGTATATGACTCTTTTTGATTTGAAACCCTCAGATAAATGATTCCAGGTCCAAATGCTTGCAGGTCCAGTTTGAGCTATGTTTTTTTACAGCACATACAAATAAGTTTATTTTCCAAAGCTCCATCTACCACTCTCTTTCTAGCTAGTAAGTCTTTCTATCTTGTCCAAATGTTCTCAAAACTGGACAAAAAAAAAAGCTTTGTTTCCCTGGGTATCTGTTCAAAGGAAAGAATCTAGTTCCTATTTCTTGTGCTTGGGGAGAATTTATTAACGTGTATGTCTACAACTCCGATTAAGTATCAATTATTGTAAATACAGATTAAGTACCAATTAAATTAGTGTATGATTGAGCCGAATTCCACCTAACTATTATATTTAAAACAACCACGTTCCAATTCAGATCAGCCAATAACATTCGACAATGCAAAAAGTTTATACATAAAGGAACAAACTTATTTATTTTAATGTGTACCATGTTTTATAGGGAAAAAAAAAATAAAGAAATAATAAATAGCATTCGCTTCTATAATAGACTAAATTATTTGGGACCAATAAATTTAAATTTATTTTTATCTTCTTTTTTTCACGAAAGCATGAATATTTCCTACCTATTGATCATTGTATATAATAATTAAAGAAATCATTATGTCTTAACACACTTGGTGAATTGTATATTAATTAGGTTCCTGTGTCCTATGTTTGGGATGGATTTGAGTTATGTCTATTTAGGTAGAGTTGGTGTTTCATAAACGCTGCTAGCATTTCCCATAATTGTTTGTAGTTAAAGATTACCCCCAGTTGCATGCAGGAAACGGAACATAACTTAATAGAATCCTTGGTTTATTCTCGCAAGTTGGATAAAACAGACAAGACAGCAGCTAACATAAAAGTTTGATACTAAGAAGAGTCATGGTCACATGCTCATTTGATGGGAAGCTTAAAGAAAGGTTCTTATACTAAGAAGAGCCACAGTCACATGCGTCACATTTTCCATGGAAGGAACTAACACCCCATTATTACTTCACTTTCTTGATCCTTGCCATGCAGTTGTCCACGGGCCTCGGGTGAGGGAGGTATCTCTGAGGGGATTCAGGATTAAGGTGTTCAAGCCTGTGTCAGTAAGACATAACATCAACATTTGTCAATACAATGTTTTGTTGTTACAATCAATAAATTAGCTCTCTAAAAAGCAACAATCATGAAAATCAGTCAGCATTGTTCCAGTTTAATTCTTAAGCCAAACAGAGCAGACCCTTTTATTAAATTGCAGAAAAATGGTCTTCGACACGGGTGTATGCACCATTTATAAGGGAAGAGAAATTAGAATGGAGGTATTGTATGAAAAATATAATGTAAATGGCATAAAGAGGGAGAAGATGTTTTACTCATAGTTCAGCAGAAAATGATGAAGGAAAACTGAGATTTCCACCTTGGCAAGATAATTCCCAGGACACAGTCTACTTCCTGCTCCAAAGGGAACAAATTCTCCAGCCTTGTGCACCTTCTGTGATTTTTTAATGATCATCGATCAATAAAATTTACAAAATATATCATAAAGTTCCCATGAAAGTACAGAACAAATAGAACCTAATGAATGTGTCAAATAAATCTATGCAACTTACATTCCATCTCTCAGGATTAAACTCTTTTGGATTAGGATATATCTCGGGATCGAGGTGAATCGCCCTGAACCAGACAACTGCTCTCCAACCTTTTGGAATCAGGTAACCTGTAACATCAAAATGCAGTGAGTGCATAGTTCAATGAATTATTTTAAATTATGGTGTTAAAGATTTGAATGGAATATCCTGGAAGTTGAGCTTATTAGGTAATGAAAGAATGCAATCACACGAGTTGTATCATTACAAAACTCACAGCACAACTGGAGTCTTCATTCATCAAACAAGTAGATAATTACAATATTGATTGGAGTGATATATAGATTATGATCTAAATATAGGACTAACCATTGATATTGATATCAGATTTTGCCATCCGAAAGGCCGATTGTGAGAATGTAATCAACCGCAATGTTTCATCAATCACCTGTCAACGTGAACAAATCAAAACAGATGTATCATATAATCACAACATTGTTAATTATAAGTTGAAATCAACCTAAAATCAACAATATAATGTCATCCACCTTGGAAAGATATTCCATTTTCCGAACTTCTGCTAGTGACAACCCTTGCTGCGTTGGAGGCCTTGTCCTTACAATTTCTTCTTGTTCTGCCTATTTAAGCAAATAAATAATGGTAGGAAGTAAGGTTGAATTTGTTGGGTTGAGAGTAAGGGGTAGGACACAGAAACATATTCAAGGTGATGTTGTAAATACTCATGTTTAATGTCCATTATCAAATGCAAATTTAGATGAATTAATGAGTATTAAGAAACTTTGTACCTTAGCCTTCTTGTAAATTTCTGGATGCTTGTTGAGGAAATAGGTTGTCCACATGGTGATATGTCCTGAGGATTCATGACCAGCATTCAAGTACATCAACAAGATATCAATGATATCATCAGCACCCAATTTTCTTCCATTTTCATCTTCAGCATCTATCAGAGCATTCATCATATCTTTCTCCTTTTTGCCGATGAAATTTCCCCTCCTTTCATTTAATCGTTTATCCACAACAGGTTGAAATAGGGCCAGTAGATTTTTCCTTGCCTAAAATTATAAAAATAAAATTAAACCATAAGATATTGCATTGCATCTAAAAAAGTACTTCAAGGTTTACGGCAATAAGTAACATATTGAAAGAGACTTGTGCTTCATTTGGAGAACAAAGTCAAGACTACGAGAACTCTGTCAATATTTTGTAGCTATAGTGCAATGCAAAAACATTACTCTGCATTTTATTCACATCAGAGGCAAACAAATTAAATTAAGACTAATTAACAAACAATTTATTAGGACTCACTCTAAACTCAAATACAAAAAAAATTACATACAAAGAATGTTAGTTAAGTTTATTTAATCATTTTGATTTCATAATAAAAATATATTTCTTAATTTACTTTTAATCATACCTGTTAAAAAATATATTCTCGTGATGAAAATAAGTTACCTTCATTGCTTTAAAGAATCCGAATCCGGGAAGGTTAATTCGCATGGCTCTAATTCCATAATTAAGCTCTGCGAATTCTTTTTCCAAATTCTCCATGACATGAACATCTTGACTTTCTTCACCCAGAAAAATATGTGCAATGACTCTGAAAGTAAGCTTGCGCAGATGAGTCAAAAACTCAATGTCCCCCATGGTGGTCCATTTCTCCAATGAACTTATGACAACTTCTTCAATAAATTTTATGTAGCAAGAGAGTGCTTCATAGCCATTGATTGAAGCAGATGTTAAGCGCCTGAGGCGTTTATGTTCTTCGAAAGGTATTGAAATAAAAGACTTCTCTCCCATGAGTTCTACAGTGGAACGTGGCCATCCAGAAATGAAGTTGACATCATCTGTCAACACCCTCTTGCATGTTTCTGGTGCTGTCACGATTACACTTGGATTTCCAAACATCAACGCCTTGTATATTCCAGTCTTTCCATACCTGCATTGTTCATTGCATTCAAATGTACGTCACGTTGTTACTTCATGGTTCATGCATGCATGCAATGATCTTCACGTTATTATATTATTTTATAAACATTGCTTTTCTTAGGTTTTAAATTATTGCAGAATTGGTAATATATATTACAAGATATTAAAACCTGTGTAAAACAGACAGATATAACCTTTGCTATATCTGTCTGTTTTAACAGACAGTTAAATATTAATTAGAAGTGAAAAAGATACTGACGAATGCATTATTTCATCCTCAATTTTTATACTGCACCCTGGTTTTTGGTCTTAGCACAATTTTGTTTGAAAGTGGATTATGATTTTTAAATTAATTACAAAAGTCAGGTGAACCCCTGCACTAGGGGTCAAAAATCACCGCAACAAATTATGTTACAGCTGTTGGACTGGACTGGACCATTTTAATCACCGGTGGTCCACATTCAGAGTCGTTTTTGTGTGAGAGCACAACTGAATATATGCTTTCAAACGCATTTTAAAAGTTGATGGTGATGTATTCTTTCAGAGAACGAGGAAAATTTATGCAGGAACTGTCATGGAATAGAAAACATTAAAAAATGGTTTGTCCACTTCTTTCCGTAGCGAAAATTGAGAACCAAAATTTAGATCAAGAAAATAAAGTTTGATTTGTGTAAACTTTAAGCTCTGGATCAAGAGCAATCATGAGGGTGATGTTTGATTTGTGTCGAAAACCTTGATTTTAGAGGAAAACTTGCTTGCATGTTTTGACAAAATGTCTACTATATGAGATCATGAGTCAGATCTCAGTAACTGAGAGTTTGGATATAACATGCATGAGATCATAAGTTGTTATTAAAGTAAGTTATGGCAAAGATGAGTTTGGATAATGTATATGAAATGATGAGTGAGATGTTAACAGTGAAGAGTTTGGATAACATGCATGAGATACAGTGAGTGGTGAAAATGAAAAGGTTGGTGAAGAGTGAATGGTGTACCTGGAGTAAAAGGAGTCCACGAAAGACTCAGGGTTCTTGGACCTGAAAGCACTGAGGAAGGACAACGTATTGCCGATTATGGGCCACCCCATGTCACCCGGGGGAAGAAAGTATTGCTTCTCACCCAGTTTGTATTCATACAGAAACCAGTTTACATTCCTGAGAATGAACCTCAGGACTAGAACAGCACCGGCAATATACACTAACCACTTTGAACCACCCTCCATGGCTTACACACTCCAATCTTTCTCTCTGCTTAACTTGGACTGCAAATTCACTCTCTTTATATGCAGTATTCACCTCAGCATCATGGAAACGCGTGTTTATTCCTTCTGTTTGAACCCGCCACGTATATGTTCTTCTGACAAAATCAATGAGTGAGACATCATGCATGTGAGATTTGTCGGTTATTTTAAAAATTTATATGACGATGATTTCAAATATTTTAAA